AATTAAAAAAAGTAAATAAAAGAAATTTTTTTATAAAACTTTAGTATAACTTATTTTTTTTTTTTTTTTTTTTGAAAAAAAATTTCATTGTTAAAAAAAAAATCTTTTATAATGATTTAACAACAACTGAAAGTTTTGATATTTTTTTGTCAGTTCATATAATTAAGAAACTAATTTGCTGTGTACGCTAGAACTATAAATTTTGTTAATTTTTTTTCTTACGTTTATTTATTTATTATGTTTATTCGTTTTTATGTCTTTTTGTTTTTAAAAAAGTTTTTGCTATATGTGACGCTTTTCCTTAATAATAAATAGAAAAATAAGAAAATAAATTGTTGTTTATTTGTAAAAAATATTATTTGATTAATAAATTTTGTTAATGATGGAATAAGTTGAATAAAAGAATAACTTCTTTAATAAATGTATTTATTCCATTTGATGCATGTATGAAATTGTTTCTTTTATATTGCCCAATTTCCAATGTTAATACAAATTACTAGAGATAATGAACAAAACGATTTCTCTGTTTAAAAAAATGTATTTAAAAGCTTAAACAAAAGTTTTAAATAGGCTCCTAAAAATTTCGTTAAGTAAATTAACAATGCACTAAATGTACTCTTAAATTAGTCAGTACAATTTAATAAAAAATTTTATTAAAATCTCATCAACTACTAATATTTGGGTTGTATAATCTTTGCACCTATGCTTCTTTTTAAAGTTTGATAGTGTGCAACATCACTAAAAATTTTAAAAATATAAAACTTGCTTTTAAGTGCTACCCATACAATGTTTAGCACTTAGAACTTGTTAAAAATTTAATGATATATATATGCTCATATGGCACATAACTCCCAAAAAAATTTACTCTTTCATTTGAGTTTGCGAATCAAATTATAATACATCAATAAGTTGATATTTTTGATGTCAATCATATTGTACATCAATTATAACATTGTATAAAAAATAATAAAAATAATGCAAAATTTGTGGTTATAAATTTACAATTATTTTTATTTACAGGCTTTACTTTTACTTATAGGTAGAACTGCACATTTTACATGCTAGAAAATTTTAATTTAAGATTTAAATAAAAGATTCACAACATACCACAAATATTTTTTGAATAATTACTATATCTCAATAAATTAAAATTTTTACTTATGAAACCTTTTTTAAAAACTTAAAGTTTTCTCTTATTCAACCTTTTAAAAAAATTTTCAGGAATATGAGTGAGAGTACAAACAAAATTTCATCGTAAGTTTTACTAATATTGAAAGTACTCATTAAAATTGAAAAAAAGTAAACCAGAAACAAATGAAACATTTAAAACTGCAATAAAATCTAGCAAAGGTTAAGATTCCAAAGCTCTAACTAAAACACAAAAATGATGTTGCTATCAGCAACAACTAAAACACATGCAAAAATGATATTGCAATTAGCAACAATTAAAACACATGCAAAAATTATGTAACTATCAGCAATTGAACTAAAAACTATTGTCCAATTCTTTTTATCAAATATATTGATGCAATAATGAGGATGTTAACATAACAACAATGCACAACTTTTTAATAAAGTTATTGTATGGAAGTCTCTATGAAAAATACAACAAAGAAAAACGTATTTTTATTAGTGACAACTTCTTACTATGGTGCAGAGTAAACTTAAAAAATATGAAAAAAATTTATTATATTATTTGCGATTACTGATCATGTCTGACAGGTTTATGAGCTAAAAAAAAAAGCAATTTTTAGTGACACTGGTTACATGGTCTGCTGAAAAATAAACTTGATGGGAACAAAGCTTTTGTTTATCAAGTACAATATTCTACTTTTAGCACAAAGTTCATTTAAAATCATCTAAGCATGATCCACATCTAATACAATCAAGGTAATTAATCTTTTTTCAAAAGATTATTTTGAATTTGGAATCAGAAAGTCTCTGTGTTGATTTGACCAGTTTCACACCTTTAACCAATACTCTTTCAAAAGTTGCTTCAAATGCTCAGTTGATAAAATTTGATGGTTTATCAATTGAGCCTGGATCCATTACTAAATATGTCGCCTACCTTGTAAATAGTGTTTGCAGTAGTTCTCAGTTGCGAATTTTATAATATAGGTTTTTTCCTTTGCAGAATACAGCAAGAAAATTTGACTCGTGACTCAATCAATTATTCCCTAAATCTTTTACTTCCCAATGCAAATCTTCTTTTTCATAATTTGTGTCAATCCATGATCAACAGAAGAGGTTTTTCTTAGTATAAAACCCAATACCTTATCTGCAGTGTAAGACCTAACACCTTGTTTTGCTAAAAATCTTCTAACAAGTTCTCAGCTTACATTTTGATTCCATACAATTTAATGTATACAAAATTGTATGGAATCAAACTGTATGGAACACTGTTATCATATTTGGGCTGATTCTTCTAATGATGTTCTTTCTCTTCAAGATAAGGTTTAAAAATGCATTGTAAACAGAGTTGGTCCCGGTCTATCTGCAAAGCTTGAGCCTCTTTCTCATCATTATAAAGTTGCATCTCTTTCTCTTTTCTACAAATACTATCATGGTTGCTGCTCAAAGGAGCTTTCATCTTTAGTTCCATCAATCAAAACTCATTCTCCCTTAACTTGTCATTCATCAAAGTCTCATTCTTTGACTATATCTGTCTCTTCATGCTCCAAAAACTTTTATTTGTCTAGCTTATTTCCACGCACTTTAACCCTTTGGAACTCTGTCCCATCTTCATGTTTTCCTGACTCAACAACCTTCAACTTTTGGAGTCTTCTGTCAACCACTTCATTGGTCTATAACTCTACTCTTTTTTTCTAGAAACTCCCAACTTGATAGTGGTTGCTTGAACTTCAATTTTAGATTTCCCCCATTCTTGACAATTTCTGATAGTTAAAATTATGTCATCTGATTCTTAGACCATTAAAAATGATAGCCAAGGCTTTTTCGTTAACTGTTGAAGCTACAATTTTATTGCATATATGATGCCCTTTTGTGGTAAAAAACTAGAAAAACAAATTAGAAACAAGGTTTTATTTATATATTTTAAAAAAACTTCCAATAAAAGATATATGGAATATATTTTTATAGGATACATTCTAATAAAGACAAAAATTATTTATTTATTACTATTGTAATAAATACAATCTCTTCTCTATAAATTGATATATCTGTACCAGTTTTATATATTTTTATGCATTTGTGTGCAGCAAAATTAAAATTAATCAAAAAATGTAAGATAAATGCAAAAGAAACTTGACGCATAAAGGTTTACTTTGCCACAAACCAACGTCAATGCGTAAAATTTTTTTCCCTTAACTTTTAGATTAGCGTTTAATATTATTCTTTAATTTGTATTCATAATCAAAAGAATGAACTTTTTTTTTATGACTTTGTTTTACTAGTCTAAGATCTTCTTAGTTCCATTTGTATAGCGTTACGTACAAACGTCTGTAAGTGTAAGCGTCTTTAGCATATGTTGAGTTTATAGGCATTATATGGAATAATCGCATATAATATATCTATAAAATGAGAAAACTTTAAAATTTTATTTTAAATTTTAGAAATCTTTTTTCTATATTATTACTTTTTTGCTATAAATATATATATGCAAGACTTCAAAATTTATTATGCAAAGAGGAGCTTAAACACCCCAAAACAACACTAACAATAGCGCACTTAACCACTGAGCCATCAATGAAATGCATTTAGCATAAAAACAAACCTAATTATAAGTCTTTTATAAACTCTACGTATGCAGAAAAGATGCACATGTTAATTTTTTTGCTCTTAAAGTTTTTTTTCAGAACAAAAATATTTTACTAAAAAGTATTGAAGTAAATAAGGAATAGGTATAGAAAAAATTGGTGTGGAATAGGTATGTATATAAATAGTAGGTTTTGTAAAAACCTGTATTTTACAGATCTGGAAAGCTAGGATATATAAGGAAAAAGTATAAAAAAGTTTGGTTTGGAATAGACTTACAAATACCCGTATTTTTATGGGTCCGATCTCAGCTAGTATGAAATATTATATTATTTTCATTTAAAAATATAATAAAAAATTTAAACGAATTTATTATAGTTTTAAAAATACAAAACACAATGTGCCTAATATTTCATCTTTTGTCAAAACATAATAATGATTATTTATTCTAGTATTACTACGACATTTAATTTATATATGAATACTTAATATGAAAATTTAATGTTTTGATTACACTGAAGTTACTTTGCATAGTAAAATCATTTGGGTGAATAATAAACTGTTTAAATTGTTAAAAATTTCAAGTATTGTATGACAAAGCAGTATTTTTAAATGTATCTTTTGATATTACTTGTATTAACGTATAGATACTTGTATCAATGTATAGATAATATTGAACAGTTAAGACCAGTTTTAAAATAAATTTATTTTATTTATGAATCAGAAGGTTACAAATTTAGTTCCAAAATATTTAAATTGGTTGAACTTTAATTATATTTTCACAGTCCTAAGTAATTAAAATTTGATTTGACCAACAAGTTTTATTTAGAGAGTAAAACCATCACAAATAAACTATTTTCAGAGTAAGAAGCACCTGTTCAGAAAATGTAACCCAAATGTAAGTTTGTGAGGTTGTGTTTAGACTAGGATAAATTTATAAAACTTTATGACATTTCATATTTCAAAAAATTGAAAAAAAAATCAACACAGATCAAACCAAATAAGTCACTTGTAACTCTTTGGTTTATAGTTGTTTTTTACTATATGAAATATTAAATAGATAGATGCAAGAATAAAAAAAGATAGATAAATGTAAGAAAAAAAAATCATTTTATAAATTTTTTTACTTTTAGAAACATTGAAATAATCAATTTTATAGCTATTCTAGGTATAAAGAGAAAACTCTAGAATAGTTATATGATAAACAAAACTGTTACAAGTTGTTCGCAGCTAGTATACTATATTTAATCAATATTAAAATAATTTCATATCAAATAATGTAATAC